GTGCCTCACTCTCATGAGCTTTTTCTGCCTTCCTACCTCAACCATTTTGTGATGTGATACATGTTTTTAACCCCAGGATGCCATTTGCCCTCTTGCCTGCCTGCTGACTCACACTGAGCCTGCTGGCAACCAGCAGCTCCAGATCCCTTTCTGCAGGGCTGCTCTCAAGCCACTCCTCTCCCAGTTTGTACTTGTGCCCAGCATTACTTTGTTCCAGGTGCAGAATCCAGCATTTGGACTTGTTAAGTTTAATCCTATTAATCACTGCCCAATGAAGAAAAAGCAAAGAATAAAATCACAAACCCCAAAAGTAGCAGGAACAAAAGAAAAGTTAGGTCTATTTATGCCAATAAAACCCAGTAAGGCTCTCTTACTCTCTCTGTATCAGCTGACAAGCTGCTCTCATTTACTTAACCAGTAAGACCAGCAACTTGATCCTTTCACTCAGCCTGTGCAACTAAACCGCACTTCAAGAGAAGTGAAAACTGGCAGCAACAGATAACTTAATCTCTTTCCTGCAGACTCTCAGGGCACCATTCTCATTTAAATTAGACTCTTAAGATCCTTAAATTAGTCATTCATCAGAATTAGTTATTTTCTCTGTTTGGAAAAGCTAACATACTTCTGGCACGTTATGGTGCCACTATCTTCCTAGACTGAAAGGAAGAAAATTCTGCCCCACTGATGGCTGATTACCTGTCTGCTGAAGCAATATGTGAATTTTATTGTGAAGACTTACTACACACTGAGCCTATACTTAATGCAAGTTGTAAATTCACAATTTACCAAAAAAACCAACAAATTCAATGAATGCACATCACCCATTAACAGCTCCTGCTGGCAGACTAGGCATGGTGGAAGGTGCTTACTCAGGGGAAGTTACTGATGTGAGGAAGCCTAGTATCAGGCCTGCTGAGGCCATGACAGCCTCACATGACTCCTTTGCATGCCCAGGAGGAGAGTCTCAGAACTTTCTGGTCTCAGAACTAATCAGCTAGTGCTTTATGAGAAAGTGGTAGAAAGACCCTCCTTTTTACATTAGATAAATGAAAAGACTAGTACCTAGGATTTCTTTTCAATCTCCTTAAACAAGAATATGCCATCTTTTCACTATTATGTATACAAATATATAACATCCTTTGTTTTCTCTCAGATGGTGTTCCATATATTATTTGATATATATATAATATATTATCAGTATAATATTATTAATATTGGCAGAACAGCTGGGCCCCATGGGTGATAATCAGTAGAATAAAGCCTAGTTCAAAGCCAGTAACCAGTAGAGCATCCCAGGGTCAATACAGGGCCCAGCCCTGTTCAACATCTTCATCAATGATCTAGATGTTGAGGCAGAGTATACCTTCAGCAAATTTTCAGATGACACAGAA